TGGCGCGGCGCTGCTGCAGCAAGCGCTGGCAAAAGCGCGTGTTTTGCGGCGGCGCTGCGAAGCACGGGCAGCAACGCGGGAAACCGTGGCCGCGCTGTGAGCCCAGGCCGCCGCGGCCCTCCTGGCGCCCGTGGCTGGCGACGCGGGCGTGCGCGCCCGGAGCACACGGGCCTCCGCAGCTCAGCGCGGCCGTTCGAGAGCACCGAGCGCGAGGCGCCGAGTATCGAGCAGATCGTACAAGAACACCAGCTAACGGGGCCGATTGCCGAGCCAACCAAAGGCATCGAGCAGGACGCTCTTCAAGGGCAGCGGCACCGAGGAGCGCGAGGAGGAGAAGGACGGGGGGGGGGCTCGGACGTCGTGGCGCTTGGCTCGTCCAGCGAAGCCCCAACGGCGGCAGCGCGGCGGCCGCATGTCCCCCCGCACACGTGCATGGAGGTCCGCTGCGCGGCGATGACCGCCCAGGTGATCACGGGATTCCCGGCGGCGGGGTTCACCGTCTCCCTCGTGGTCTACACCATCGGGAACATCATCACGCGGTACTGAACCGTCATCACCTCTTTTACAGCGTGGCGCTCGTACCTCCTCCCGAACGCCCTTCAAGACGTCCTGCTTCAACGCGATGTTCGCTCACGCGGTCAAGATCGGGGCGAACGACGCCGCTGGCGCGGCGTGCGCTGCCGCGCCGGTCGCGAGCCTGCACCCGCTGCTGACGACGACGGCGGAACGGCTCTGCAATTTGTTTGAGCGCTGCAGGCCGCTTCACGCCCGATTTTCCTCAGGCCCCTCCGAGGGAAAAGGGGCCCGACTCCTTGAGTCTCGCCGAGGAGACAGGGAGTGAGCGCGGCACAAGACAGGACAGGGCACGCAGAAGCCGCGCCTAGACGGCGCACCGGCATGGAAAGGAAGGCCAGAAGCTGTGAAGAATATGACGCTGAATGCACGCGCGCCGGGCCACGCAGCCACTGTACATCGACCAGTGCTGATCGGCGGGTACCACTACATTCGTACATCGCCCCCTGAATATGCAGGACGGAAGGAAGAGAGGGAGCGCGGCGCGGAAAGGAGGAAAGGTGGCAGAGAAGGTGAGGGTGAACAATATTACGTACAATAGTCGTCTGCGGTTTTGCACCATTGTGCTGGAGAACCTTGCAGAAGCTCGTGCAAATTGCCAGCGTTGCCTCCAGCTGCCTCCAGGGCCTGGGCGCGCAAATATGTAGCCCCGTGCAGGCGCGGGC